TCTATTTGGCACAATATAAATTGAACTAATTCATTTTATCCATTCACTATAATTTCTTGACAAGGAGAAGGATGTTTTCTTATATTGAATATCACAAATTAAACCCTACTTTCTATTATTAGTTATTTATTAGTTATCCAAATTATCTACTTATTTCAATTGCCTATTAGTGACAGATAAGCAAATTGAACGCCGTCGTTGTAGTTGAAGTATTACTTTTTATTAAGCCTTAGTCCGTAGTATTCTATTTCTCCCTGTGGGATCGATAACTAGGACTCCATTTGAGCCCTATATTACTTGAGCGATACGTATACTTGCGTTGACAAATTCAACTTTGACATTATTGAATATTATATCTATACATCTTTATGAAATCAAACACATATATATAAAAAGTCGCAGTCAAGTTTTTGGCGCCGTTACCGGGGATTTAAATCTTCTAGTAGCGTCATTAAATTCTTGTAATTGTTGATTTACAAAAAGAAAAAGGTCGGTCAAGCACCCAATAAAACAATATATCATCGAGTACACCATGCAACAATGCATTCCAAAGATGGAGTAATGATGCACTCTGAATCTGATGTAATGACACACACTGATGATAGTGTATCAACACACCTCGTATACGGTGCAACATTACTTCTTGAAGGTCGTGTAATAATACACCCCAAATACGGTGCAATAACACCCCCCCCAATGATAGTTTAACTACACACCCACATATGGTGCTACGAAGCCTCTCAATGATGATTTAATAAAGCACCCCAAAGACTATTACTTCTTCGAACTCCTAACTCTCTCTCCTCATAGCTGACTACTATGACCTACATTGCTTACAGCTCGTGCATCTTCAAACTCTGACCTCTATGGTCTACGGAAGTCATCGTAGCTCAACATTACAACATATGTAATCAACTATGACCTACATGGCTCACAACTCATGCATTTTCTGACTTCGGTCTTTGTGGCCTACAGACGTCACCATAACTCATCACTATGACCTATGTGACCAACTAAGTATATGCTATCCCCAGCTTGTGTAACTCCCGACTTCAGCCCCTGTAACCTATAGATGTCATCACAATTCACCACTACGGTCTACATGACCAGTTGTGACTTATGTGATCCACAGATCGTATAGTTCTTGACTCCAGCCCTTGTGGCCTACAGATGTCATCACAACTCACCACTACGACATATATGACCAACAATGACTAACATGGTCCACATCTAATTTGGTTCTCAACTGTAGTCTCTATGACCCACGTACATCATTACAGCTCACCACTACGACCCACCTGATGAACTAAGACCTACGTGGTCCACAACTCATGCAACTCTCGACTCTAGCCCCTGCGGTCTACGGACATCATCACAACTCACCACTTCATTTGTGACTAACTACAACCTACATGATTCATAACTCGTGTAACTTCTAAATCCCCTATGACCTACGAACGTCATGATAGTTCACCATTACGGCCAACGTGATCAACTAAAATCTACAAGATCCACAGCTCGTGAAGCTCTTGACTTTTGCCTATACAGCCTACAAATGTCGCAACTCACCACTACGGGCTAGAACATCGCACAACACTTACTTCTCTTGCTTACTTCTCTTTCATTATGAGTTTGCGCTAGAGCATCGCACAACGCAAAGACGCTAAACAATCACTCAGCCCCCACAAACCTTCCGACACACATCAAACATCAACCTTTTATTTCATATAAAAGACACCCCAATTTTATTTAACTTCTAAAAAATGAAATAAATATTTTCATGCATAAATAAAATGTCGTGTATCTAAAAATTGAAGTTAGATTTTAGATATGTAACTACTTAAGAATTGAGTGGTATATCTGTAAAGCATCCAAATTTTAATTCTATATAAATTATGTTAAGTTAAATTTATAATCATATATTTTAAAATCACAAACTTCATTAACATGAGTTTAGCCAAGCTAATCCATAGCATTTCCACCGGGCACCAACCAAACGAGTTACCAGCAATTTTGCAAACTTCAATTTTTTCATACAAAGAGGGTGATTAAGAATGGGGAATTGTGTCGCGTTAAGTTTAGCTTCTAGAATTTTAAATGTGGTATAGGATAATATTTTTTGTTTATCATCAACTAAACATTACATGATTCATTATAAGCTATAATTTTATTGCAATTTTTTTATTTATATTGGTAATTATAATATATGTATGTGTGTGTATATTATATATTTTAGGTTTAAATTTTTTTTAATTTGTTCATATCTAAATTATAATACAAATATAATTATATAAAATTACTTTTATATCAAACTTTAAATGTATAATTATTGAAATTATTGTTTGCATTTGAGTTACATTTATTTTTTGTCATGCATTTATAATATTGATGTTGAATCTAAATTTGACTGTGAATCTCACCCAATAATAAAGTGGAAGCATGAGAGAGAGAGATGCACAATAATTAACAATAATTTGAGAGAGACTTGTAACCTTTTATTCACAGAATGATTCCTTATTTATAGAAAAAATGGGGTACAATATGTGAAATTATATTTATGCTCTTATTTTAGTGGGCGTGCAAAGTAGCCAATTGGCTAGGCCCGACACTGCCAATTGGCTACTTTTTAATGGCAAAGGCGACAATATTGGCTTAGTCGACTAAGTAGTGTCGATCGGTTGGTCAAGTTTAGTCGTTGACCCTCGATCTCTGATAAGTAGCTCCTGTCAATAAAGCATAGCTAGGATATAAGGTAGAGGGAAAATCACCATTCGATAGGTAGCTACCCTTAGATGAATTGGTTCTGAGAGATGGTTGCAACTCATCTTATTGATTCTTAATAATGTTTAGGGAGACTATTGGATGCCCCTGACATAATTGCAGGACCCGAAGGATTAAC